AAAATTAGTAAATGAATATAGTCCTGTACAGATATATGCATATTTTTAGAAAAAAATAAGGTGACTAACTTTCCAAACTTTAATTTGGCTTCATATTTTGTCAGGTTCCTTTCTAATTTTTGTTTTTGTGTTCAGATCTTAGTAATAATTTATTTTATTTTATTTTTATAAGGTTGTTGACAATAGTTCATTACAGATAATATTCAAACACCAGTCCCACCACTGTGTACCTTCTTCCCACCATCAGAGGAAAGTGTGTGAAGATTGTTGTATTTCTTCCTGGAGCCAATTATAAACATATATGTTAAATTCATTTGTGTGCTACTTTTGGTACATTAGTGGGTTAGAGTGTAAGAGGTTGTGACCGCGCACTGTAGGATGTTCTGTGTTGCTCTCTTCCAGGAGCTTTATTTCATAGTCTTTGGATCTTGGCTGTTTTGACGAAATTATATGGATGGGGGTAGGTTGGGGGAAACGTCATTTTGTGGGTGTGACTGCCAAGCTACTGGAAAACTGGGGCGCTCTGGGGAGGAGACTCAGTCCTATTCTGAGCGAGCATGGAGATCTCAATTATGGGTCCCGCATACCTGGGTAGTAGCAAAATCTTTTTATGGAAACTCTGTCAGTAAGTTTTTCTTGATTTAACAAAGTAAACAGTCATTAGTCACTTCATAAAAGCTATTTTAAGATTTTGTTTATAAAATACATATTTCCTTTGCTATTTTAAATAGATTTTTCTATTTGATATTCTTCTAAATTATTTGTTGCATTGTTCTGTGGACCTGGGAATGTTGTACTGTTTTATTTATGTGGAACAATTCTTAGTGTTCTAGATTTAAAAAAATAAATACCAAATAGGAAAACTACTCTTGAATAATAGGGGAAACTTCTGTTTTATTTTGCCCTTTTGAATATTTATCCAGATTTTGTTATAATTTTCAGCAACAGTAAAATTTTGGGTGATTTTGTTAAATAAATTTATTTCTTCACTGGAAGGATGTACCTCAAATCATTGTTCACATGGGCTATTCATTAGAAAATTTTTTGATTTTAGAAATAGGTTTTCTTGAATTTCGCATAGAAATTGACCTTATACATAAATTTTTTCTCCTTCCCTCCTTCTCATTCTTTCCTCCTTCCTCTAAGTAGCATCACTTTACAGTTTCTTTAATTTAGAATGAACTTTGAAGAAAATCCTTTGTGGTTTTATTAACTTTATTAAAATTATATATACAGAAGAGCTCATAAAATTTTTTTTTTAAGTGTAGGTACTTTGAGCACAGTATACTTTGGCATCACTGTATCACTGTCCCCCCGTTGTTCATCGATTTGCTCCAGCGGGCCCAGTAACACTGTGAGAGTTGTTACTGTGTTTGGCATATTGAATACGTCCTGGGTAGCTTGCCAGGCTTTGCTCTGCGGGCGAGATACTCTTGGTAGCTTGCCAGGCTCTCTGAGAGGGGTGGAGGAATCGAACTTGGGTCGGCCATGTTGGCTGCATGCAAGGCAAATGCCCTACCCTCTGTGCTATCGCTCCAGCCCTACTTTGGCATATAAATGTATAAAGATAAGATAGACTTTGAAGTCCAAATGTTGCCTTTAGCCAACCTAACTGAAAATGCAGAAACCACAAGCTCTTGTTAAATTTAAGAATTTTATATTTTAAAATATTCTAATTTTGTAGGGCTGTGAGATAGTATCGGAATTAAGGTGCTTTGCTTGCCTGGCATGCAGCTGACCCAGTTTGATCCTTGAGGACCACTGGTTATGGTCCAAAGTACCCTCCCAAATGACTAATTTTGGGATTTCCCCATTATGTTTAAAAAATTTGTAACTCGAACTGAGTGATAGTATTGCAGGTAGGGCACTTGTCTTGCACGCGACTGACCCAGACTCAATACCTAGCATCCTATGTGGTCTCCTGAGCTTTGCCAGGAGTGGTCCCTCAACTCACTGCCAGGAGTAATCCCCGAGTACCACTGGGTCTGGCCCCAAAACAAAAACAATAAAAAAATTGTGACTTTAATTTTTAGTATAAAGGTAAAGGTAAAGGCCCTCCCGTTGATCGTCGATTTGCTCGAGCGGGCCCAGTAACGTCTCCATTGGAGACTTTGTTGTTACTGTGTCTGGCATATCGAATACTCTCGGTAGCTTGCCAGGCTCTCCGAGAGGGGCGGAGGAATCGAACTCGGGTCGGCCATGTTGGCCGCGTGTAAGGCGAACGCCCTAACCGCTGTGCTATCGCTCCAGCCCCAATTTTTAGTATGTAGAAACTTTTCATTGGCATAAGCAGGACTTTGTCATATAAACAAATTTACTTTTGTATTTTGTGTTGTGAGTTTCAAAGACCCACCCTCAGGTCAGGTTTGCTGATTAGCTAGGAAAATTAACAGGATTATCTGTCTGTCTGTCTATATCTCATTAGTACACCACTGATGTACCTAAAGCAGCACACGTGTGTTTGGTTTTAACATACTTGCTTGTATTCTCTTATATACATTCTCCATTCCTCTTGGAGAGCCCAGCAAGCTATCAAGAGTAATCGCCCACACGGCAGAACCTGGCAAGCTCCCTGTGGTGTATTTGATATACCAAAAACAGTAACAATAACGGGTCTCATTCCCCTGACCCTGGAAGATCCTCCAGTAAGGCACTCTTGGGAAGGATGAGTAAGGAGGGGCTGCTAAAATCTCAGGGCTGGGATGAATGGAGATGTTACTGGTGCCTGCTTGAGCAAATTGATGAATAATGGGATGACAGTGATACAGTGATACAGTTATACTCATAGCTATGATTCATAATGAAAGGACACAAAGCAAAATCAGCAAAGAAACAAGAACCATGGAACAAAATCTAAAGGAACCAGGCACAGACTCCTAAGAGTCCTCCCAACTGGAGACCTTTAGGATATTGTTAATTTGTCCGGTAGTGACTTATATGTGAAATATTGTCTTTGAGGATTCAGAGTCCAGAGTGCTAGGGCTGAAACGATAACACAGTGGATAGGGCGTTAGCATTACACGCAGCCAACATGGCTGACCTGAGTTCTATTTCTCCGCCCCTCTCGGAGAGCCTGGCAAGCTACCGAGAGTATCTCGCCCGCACGGCAAAGCCTGGCAAGCTCCCCGTGATGTATTCGATATACCAAACACAGTAACAACAAAATCTCGTGATGGAGACGTTACTGGGCCCTCTCAAGCAAATCGGTGAACAACGGGAGGACAGTGACAGTGTATTTGAGGAGTGCCCACGACAGGACTCAGGACTTTTATGGGGATGGGGAGGGGGGTGGGGGCGGGGAGAGGGATGATCATCAAGGCATTCTTTATTTGCATGTACCAAATTCAGTATTCCATGAAGGAAAGTACATGTTTAAGTAGATGTTTATCATAAACTGTTGTTAATGCAAATAGTTTAGGCAACATTGAGCCACTCTTAGGAGGCTCTTATGAGGGTTATGGTGGGGAACTTTTAAAATGTTTTCCTTAGTACCAGGTAATGACCAATCTTGTATTGTAAACTGGTCTTTCTAAGGATAGACAATCTCATACCAACCCTATTCTTTTCTGCATTTGTGTGTTTCTATACATCCAATATAACCAAATCTGGTTGCTTGGGATTATTACAAATTTGAATTTGATTTTATATTTACCTGCTCTTTGTTTGATTGTGGGCCACATCCAGTGATGCTCAGGGTTACTTCTGGCTCACTGGTTACCTGAGGATCACTCCTGGTGGTGTTTGGAGGACTGTATGGGATGCTAAGGAGTGAGTCTGGATCAACCATGTGCAAGTTAACCGCGCTACTTGCTGTACTATTTCTCCAGCCCTTGCCTGATCTTTACGTGGTAGATATTCAATGGGAGACATTAAATTGACATATGAGTTCAAAAGAGAAATTTGAGTATGTAGACATTAGATATAAAAATCTATATTTTTATATTTTATATTTTATAATTGTGTTGTGATAAATTCTGATTATGGCTTTCCAATTTTTGCTTCTTGGACTTGTGAGCAACTCCTTACCACATGGTTTTCTGAGCTCTGCTGGGAGCATACCCCAAAATACAGAGCTGTGGGTTGCTCTCGAGCATTGTCATGTGTGGTCTCCAAACAGAAACAAACACGAATTGCTTCTTAATATGATAATGAAATTTACCTAAAATACTGAATAATACATCAACTACTATGTTTCTTTAAATTGATTCTCTAAAAAAGACAATATATAGCTTGCTAATCTAATAAAAATGAAAAGAGAAATGTTTTACAAGATGCTGGTTTTCATGTATGCTTATGTATGTTGGTATAATCTTGTATATTCTTTGATATGAGACGTTAAATTAATGAAGTCAATCTTTGCCAAATGGAAAAAATATTTTAAAAATTATTGAAAGAATTTTTGAGAAGAAAATTTGTAAATTCTAATTTTGTTGTTGTAACCTCTTAGTAAAGTGAACAAATCATCTTTTACCAATGTATCAGCCTACTTTCTAATTTCCTGTTGCTAATATTTATTTTTTCATGTAATTTACAGTGTTAGTAAATGTTCTGACTTGCTACATTTGCTTTAATGGTAAGACCACTGTTACATTATGAATTGAAAGGGGCTTATACATGTAGTAATTCCCAGAGTATATGAATTTTATTTAAAAATGATTTCATTTTGAAATTTGTAATCTTCATGAATGCAGGGAGCATTTCTGTGAACCTAGTGCCTATTTGATACATAATAGGTATTCAATAAATATTATCTGAATAAGAAAATGATGACTTACAATTATCTCCTCTTGCTTAAAGATTGTTAAATCTAAACATTAGTGTTTTATTAACAGGATTATTCCTGAATCAGATTTTATTTGAATTTTTGAATGTGTTTACAGTAAAATTTCATTATAGGACTTTTTTTCTTGTAATATTTTCAAAATCAAATACCAAAGAAATATAAGACTGTATATTCCACTGTATGTGGAATGAACTTTATAAGCTGAAATGTTTTTAAGGATGTTACGGAACAGACGGGGAAATGTGCCTCGTATGGAGCATGATGGTGATGTCACAGAACAGTTAAACATACGAATCTCATCAGCTGGAAATGAAAGGTACAGTACATAATATAATTCAACCGTTCACTGCACTGAAAGAGCAGCTGCTTAAAGGCGACTTCTTATAAAAGTACAAAGGTGTAGTGTTAGTCTTACTGGTGAGAAAGGCATTAAATCAAAAGGCAGAGGGTGTGTTAAATGTCAATTTATAGTAAGCTGCAATATTCTTTTTTGTTGGTTTTGGGGGCCACACCTGCTGAGTTTCAGGATTACTACTCGATTCTGTGCTCAGGAATGACCCCTGGTGGTACTTAGGGAACCTTGCATGGGACAAGCAATTCAAACTGAGGTTGGCAAATGCCTTAATCCCTGCGCTCTCAGGTTCCAAAATTATTTTGAAGAGGAAGCTTTTGTTTTTTGGGCCACATTCCGTGGTACTCGGCTCAATCCTGGCTCGGTGTTCGGGAGATCATATGAAGTACCAGAGATAGAGCAAAGGTTGACCACATCTGTGCAAGTATCTTGGCCCCTGTGCTCTCTCTCCAGCATGAAGAGAAAGTTTTTTTATAAAGTGTCTTCATGTGTTCTGAATAAGTCCTTACAAATATTAATACAAAATTTATAATAATAATGAGGAATGAAAGTTTAATAGACTATAAATAAATCGAAAATATTTAAAATATCAGGGGTGATGTAACTTAACTCAAAATAAATTTTCCGGCAGTGTGGTTTTCCTTACTGAAACACAGTTTTTGTTGCTGTGGCAGTTGACACCTGTTGGTGCTAGTGAATAAATTTTATGTTTACTTTAAAAATCTTGTCTTTGTACTACATAAATCAGATGATGCAGGCCCCATCATCTGTGGACCACATGATGCCAGGAATTGAGCCCAGGTCTTCTGCATATGAAGCATTATTCCGTCTGAATGAACTATCTTTTTGGCACCTATTTTTTGTTTGTTTGTGGGCAAGACCCAATTTGGGGGCCAGGAGCCCAGGGGTGCTCAGGGATGGATTACCCCATGTGATACTCAGGGGTCAGATGGGACCCTTTTTAAAATTGGAGCTTTTCTTTATCATACTGGAAAGAAAGGAACCTAAGTACTCATTTTTCATAGATTTTTTTCATTTTAGTAAATTTCTTACAAGGATAATTCTCAGTTTGTCACAGAAAATGAATATATCAGTACAATGTTCTTTGGAGAAAAGTAATATATTAAAATGCTTGAGTTAAGACAACTTGCTCCTTGGATATTATTACTTTTTTTGAGTTGTTTATCTTTTTTGCTCTTTGTCTTACAAGGTGAGTTTTTTGGGATGGGTTTTTCTAAAAAATAAGGTATCAGAAGTAATACTTCTCTCTCTCTTTGGGAGGGATACACTAGCTGGGCTAGTTCTGCCTCTGTGCTTGGGGATCACCCCTGGTACTCCTCAGAGGACCATATGGGGTACTTGGGAGATCATATGCTATGCCACGGATTGAACTAGGTCTAGCCGCATGCAAGGCAAACATTGCCTTAACCCCTTTACTAGCTTTCTTACTTAGGCCAATTTTCTCTTTTATTGGGAGGGAGTGGAGATTGGGCCACACCCAGCTGTGCTTATGACTTACTCCTGACTCTACTCTGGTATCACTCTTGGTGGTGCTTAGGAAACCATTATATGGTGCGGGTCAAATATGTGTAAGGCAACTGCCTTTTTTCTTTTTTTCTTTTTTTTTTTTAAAGGGTTTATTTATGTATGTGTTCCTATTTTCCTTGTTTGGATAACTGTTCTTTTAAAAAGGCATTTATTTTTTTGGTGGGGAAAGGAGGTGTACACAGCAGTGTTCAGGGGCTTGGGGTCCCGTGATTGTGGAGATGGGCCCTAGGCTTTTTGCATGCAAAATCATGCTCTTTAGCCTGTTGAGCTCTCTCCACCCCCTCAAAGTCTTTTACTTGGGCAACATAGGGCCAGTGAAACAGGCTGAAGAAAAACATTTTTATACAGCTTAAATACATTTCCATCCCCCAATAAGAGAGACGATGGCATGGATTTATTCTAACTTTGAAACTAAGTATTATAGTATTCACAGTGTTTTGAAAGGCTAATAACTCATTTTTACATTTTCCTGTAAATCATTTGCCTTCTAATTTTTTTCTTTTCTTTTTTTAAAAAAGTGCTCCTGCCAGTGAACCATCCAGAACTAATCGAGAGATATGTAGTCCTTTTGCAGGGATGCTTTTTGGTATGTACAACATTTTCAGTTGTTTAGACTTTTGTAAAAGTATTTTTAAAAAGTATTTGGTGAGAAGTCACTATTGTAATTAATACTACTTACGCTGGTAATGGTTCATAACATTATCTTTCAGTTGCATTGGATCAAAAGTCTGGGCATGGCTGACCTACTGCTTAGAGTCTCACAAGTGCAAATCTCTCAAGGTCCTTTGCTTAGAGTCTTACAAAGTGATTTTGTAGATTTGACTTGAAGGAGGGGAAAAATTTATTTCCAAGCTCATTCATATTTTTTGACAGTTCACTTTCTTGTGGCTTAAGGGCAATTTCTTTTACTTCTCTTTCTTTTTTGGGGAAGGAGGTAGGGAGGGGCGGGCCATTGTCACCTGGTAATGCTCAGGTCCTATTCTGGTTTTTTAGTGCAGGAGTGACCCCTGGGGATCATATGTGGTTCTGGGGATTTGCATCAGGGAATGCAAAGCAAGCTCCCCAAGTCCTGTACTGTTTCTCAGACGTGGTTTCTTATTGGATGTCAACTGGAGCCAGCTCATTCATAGTTTCTCCGGAATATGGTCTTCATCATTATGACTATTCACTTTATAATGTGAACAAGAGGCATCTCCAAATGCAGGGAAGAATTATCTGAGTACATGGGGCACATTCAAAATAATCTATTTGATTAACTTTAATGGTTTGATACTTTAGTTTATCTGCAGATTAATTTCACCTTGATCATATTCTTTGGCTAGAAGTAAGTCATGCATACACTCATGTTTTGGGGAGGGGGGATATGGGCCAGTAGTAACCAGATCTTGGTGCAGCTTCTGATGGTTCTGGGCCTGTTTGGACCCAGTGGGGCTCCTTGGGTCCTGGCAAAATTGGGGGTCACCATGGAGCTTGAAGGGATGGGGAAATAGAACTTGGACTTTACAGTTCGAAGGCATGCACTCTCCGTCTTTGGGCTATTACCCTGTTCCTCTACTATGTCTTTTGTATATGGAAACAACACCGAAAGAAATGCTAATGTTCTAGAGATATAGTGTCACCACATCATGCCTATGCATGAGTATCCCACTACTGGTGGTCATAACATCCTTTTCTGGCTTCTCTTTGGTTCCTTCTTCCTAGTTTTTGATGGGTTGTTTGTTTTTATGTTGGGTTTTTCAAGTTCTTGGAGTTTTCATCTTGGAGTTTAACCCTTTGTTAGATGCATTGTATGCAGATGTTTTATTCCATTCAGTGTGATGTCTTTTTTAGTCATATATTTTCTTTTACAATGCAAATGCTTTTGTTGGATATAATACAGTTTTTGATTTTTTCCCCCCTTTGACAATGAAGCCAAATAACTAAAGACATCACTAAATCTAGTGTGGTATGATTGTATCTACTCTATTTCCTGAACAGAGTAGACAGTATTTACAACCTTCCTAGAACTAAAAAATGGAAGTTTGAGAAATTTAGATTTCTTGTTGCATAAGTTTCTCGAGAATTGGGAGTGCATATTTTTTCCTTGACACTCTCTAGGTGGTGAAGATCGAGAACTCATTCGGAAAAAGAAAGAGAAATATAGACTCGAATTATTGGAACAAATGGCTGAACAACAAAAAAACAAGAGACGGTAATGAGATGTTTGCATTTAAAAAGTTTTTTCCTTTTCTCCTAAGTGGTGCTCCAAAGGATGCCCTGTGCTTGGGCTCTGTGGTACACCTGGGTGGTCCCCCAGTGCTTCTGGAGAAGGGTGGGGGGTTCCACGTGATTCTGGGATTTAACTGGAGTCCTCTTCATGCAAGGCCTATGCCTTAACTCTTGTATTTTCTCTCTCTAAGCTTTAAAAAAGTTTCTTAAATTTATTTAAAATGACGTTTGTAACTATTGTCTCATTCATTTGATTTTATATTTGAAAATAATTTCTATTTCAATATCATGTTAAATCAGCCATGGTAATACATAAATATGAGAATGTTAATTTTCTTCCTCAGAGGGCTGGAGCAATGTATCCCTTACCTACTTTTAATCCTCAGCTCTTGTCCAGTGTGATCATTCCCAGCTATTAATATTGGTCATTCTCAGTCTATTATTATAGCAGACTCCTCTCTATCTTACCTACCCTCTACTCCACACACACTTGTGATTATTTCCAGCCATTGATCATTCTTCTTAACCCCTTAACTATATATATATATTTTTTTTTCTTTATATACCACAAATGAATGCAGTCATTCTGTATCTGTCCCTTTCCTTCTGACTCATTTCACTCAGCATGATATTCTCCATGTCCACCCATTTATTGGTAAATTCCATGACTTCATTTTTCCTGACAGCTGCATAGTATTCCATTGTGTAGAGGTGCCATAGTTTACATTATCCATTCATCTATCAGGTTGTTTCCAGATTCTGGCTATGGTAACTGTGCTGTGATGAACATAGGAGTGCAGATGATGTTTCTGCTGTGTGTTTTTGGGCCCCCACTATATATTCCCAGAAGTTGTATTGCTATAACAGTACTTTTATACAACTTATTTGACTTCTTCAATTTTTAGTTGAGTGCAGTATTTAATGTTATGAACATGCCCATAGTGTTGTCCTATGTATTATAAAAGACATAAAAATCAAAGTATTTTTTCCTTTTGGCATTGCAAAATGGTGAATGCATGCATATATGTAACATGAACATAATGATAAATCCTTAGATATTATATTCAAATCTCAGTATGTTTTTTTAAACCTATAAGAATATTTATTATTATTTTGCTTTTTGGGCCACACCCGGCAATGAACAGGGGTCACTCCTGGCTTTGCACTCAGGAATTTCTCCTGGAATGCTTGGGGGACCATATCGGATGCTGGAAATTGAACCCGAGTTGGCCACCTGCAAGGGAAACACCTTACCCGCTGTTCTATTGCTCCAGCCCCAGAATATTTATTATTTTTAAAATTATAAAAAGATAGGTTCTAGGGGCTGGAGTGATAGCACAGCGGGTAGGGCATTTGCCTTGCATGCAGCCGACCCGATCCCCAGCATCCCATATGGTCCCCTGAGCACTGCCAAGAGTAATTCCTGCGTGCAAAGCCAAGAGTAACCCCTGAGCATTGCTGGGTGTAACCCAAAAAGGAAAAAAAAAAAGAGATAGGTTCTAGGTAATTTGAAACCTGTCATCTTTTAGTTTTTGAGTTTTTCTGTTTATCTTTGATTCTTCTGTGTACTGTCTCATTAACCATCTTTAACATTTTTAAAAAAGCATTTGACAGAAATCCTGATATTTAATATTGATATTTTACCATTTTACGAGTTTAAAATATACATGTACCCTAAAGGAAGTATTTATTTTTTTTCACAAAATAAAGGGGCTGGAGCAATAGCACAGCAGGTAGGGAGTTTGCCTTGCAAGCGGTCAATATGGCCGACCTGAGTTCGATTCCTTCACCCCTCTCAGAGAGCCCAGCAGGCTACCTAGAGTATCTTGGCCCCCCCCCCCCCCCCCCCCATGGCAAAGCCTGGCAAGCTACCTGTGACGTATTTGATATGCTAAACACAGTAACAACACGTCTCAAAATGGAGACGTTACTGGGCCTGCTCGAGCAAATCGATGAACAATGGGAGGACAGTGACAAAATAAAGATTTATTTTACTTCTGTTATTTATGGTGTGCCCCAAGCACTGTGTAGAGATACTTAAGCCACAGTTTAAATCTAGTTTATTTTAAATTAGAAAATTTAATTTTCAGAATTACTTAAGGATTTAGTCAGTTAAATTATTTGTATTTGAAAATGATATTGCATTGACTTTGTACGTACATTTGTTATAATAATGGTAATGGTTTTGGTAGTGATTACTATAACACTTTAACATAAAATTTTAATTTTGTTTAGAGAAAGAGATTTGGAACTCAGAGTTGCAGCTACTGGTGCACAAGACCCTGAGAAGTGGGTAAGAGTTCTTAGAATTTATTGATGCACTTTCATTGAATTGAACCTCAAATGTGATGGCAGGAAGAGATAGAAGATATTGGGGAAAATGTCAGAGTAGACCAATTTGAACCAACTTCAGTTCTCATGAAACTAAGCTCTAACATTTACCTGTTTATTTTTCTAAGATTGTTTTTTCTTTTTCATGTTTGTAAGCATAATTTTTTCAGTGTTGTATATTATCCTTATTGCTTTGACTTTATATTCCATGGGAACATTATCTAAATTTAACTTATAATAGATGTTAATAGTTTTAAAGATGTTGAAAACTAAATCTGTTCTTCAAGTATTTCAATATTTTTTATTTAATGAAAACAGAAGAGATAATTTACTTTTACTTTTATTTTGCAATTCTCATCTTTTAGTGGAGTCAATTTCTCACATCATTGCAGTTAAGTAAGAAGGAGGTAATACTTTATTAGTCTTATCAAGTGTACTTTTTCTGTAGTTTGATATGTAGAATTTGTTAAGGCAGGTTTTTATTTCATCCTTGAATGATGATTAAAATTTTTTCATTTAATTAAAAGTTCATTAAAAAGTTCATTCTTAAAAGAATATAACTGGGGCTGGAGCAATAGCACAGCGGGTAGGGCATTTGCCTTGCACACAGCAGACCCGGGTTTGAATCCCAGCATTCCATATGGTCCCCTGAGCACCACCAGGAGTAACTTCTGAGTGCAGAGCCAGGAGTAACCCCTGTGCATTGCCAGGTATGACCCAAAAAGCAAATAAATAAATAAATAAATAAAAGAATAAAACTTATTAAATTATTCAGGTGGAGTCAATTTTTGATTTACATAGGCTAAGTATACATCTGGTAGGTTATTTGTTTAAAAAAGTTTATACTACACTGGAGAGATGGTACTTCTTTTCATGTAGCTAATCTCAGTCTGATTCCTGGCACCAGATATAATTCTCCAAGTACTTCCAGGAATGATTCTTTAGCACAGAGCCAAGAGTAGCCTTTGAGCACTGGGAGTGTGACCCCACCCCCCAAACAAAATAAAACAAAACAAAACCCAACTACAGCAAGGTGTAAGATATAGTCTGGGCATTAAGGTGCTTACCTTGCTTACTGACCCTGGTTCAAATCCCTGGCACCATGGATGGTTTCCTGGGCACTGCCAGGAGGCAGTGCTGAGCACAGAGTCAGGAGTATCACTGAGTGCCACTGAATGTAACCACTGTCTGTCCCACCTCCCCCAAAAGTTAATATTATAGCAGCTTCTGACACCTCTCATAATGGAAATTTTAATCCTAGAATTCTAGACATCTTTTTTCCTGGATCAGTAAAATAAATAAAATAAATACGATGTGGGAAGAAAATGTAAATTTCAAAACTAAAAATATCTTATTGTATCAAATACTTTTCAAATAGTTTTCACAATCAGAAACTCTCTTTGAAAATATTGAACTTTTTAATGTAATATTTACATTGTAAATAGTGGCATGCTTTAGTTACATAAATTTATGTAGTAGAATTTTATCTACATTTGTGTTCAGCTGATCTTTTTATTTATGTTTGAGGGAAGTTATATTTTATATTTTACATTGCTTTGCATGAATAAACAAAATTAGTTGCAGTAGTTCGACTTACTTTGGGTTTACTTTGATATATAATATTAGAAGGGACATATAAGTGATATTTCAGAGCTTTGGTTAGTAGATTATGACTTACGACAAATCTAGTAGCTGCCTATTTTTATGAAGTTTTATTGCAGCACAGCTTTATTGGTTATTTACATATTGCTTGGACTATCTCAGCACTATGGCTGAGTGTTATAGTTGTGGAGAGACATCACTTACATGCAAGAGCCTGATGTAATTACTATATAGTGCTTTGTAGAAAGTATCTGTCATTTCTCTTGTAGAGGGTACTTTGCTACTAGATATGACAGAGAAGTAACATAGTGATACAGTATAATTGTATATTTAAAGTTAATATTTGTCCTAGTAACTTTTGGTTTTGTTTTTTAAAAAATTAATGGTGAGACCATTGAATTGTTTATTTTTGGGGGTGTGTGTGGTGGGGATAGGGGGACCACACCGAGCTTTACTCAAGACTTACTCCTGGCTTTGTGCTCAGGGGTCCTTCCCGGGGACCTTGGGGAATCATATGGGGTTCTGGGGATCTAATCCAGGTTTGCTTTGTGCAAGTCAAGGCCTCTCCCTGCTGTGCTACTGCTCTGGGGCCTGAATTGCATACTTCTTGGGGAGCCTTGATTTTTCCCTTTATAACATTAAGTGGTGATAGTAATGATTATATCTTTGAAATTTTGTGTACCTGAAAAATTATATTACTGTGTAACAAGTGCCTGCTGGTGCTCTGAGATAGAAAGTCTTTTAAGGTCCCTTTCACTTTAAAATTTATGATTATATGTAACAAACAGACTTTTTTCTTTATTTTAGCCTGATAGACTAAAGCAGTTTAGTGTGACACCAAGACCCTTTGAAGAGACGCTTCCACCTGAGAGACCCAGAGTAGCTTTCCAGACACCTCTCCCTCCTTTATCTGCCCCATCTGTCCCACCCATCCCATCAGTGCACTCCATCCCACCTCAAAGTGAAGATTTGCAGAATGGATTCAGCAGCACCCTTGGTGAAATGGTGCCTCCCAGGTGCTTGTTTAAAATGTTTTGTGTTTGGGAATTAGGTAAGGTATCATTGTATTTTGTGCTCAGAAGGATTTGCTGAAGCAGATAATGTTATCCTGTAGATATTTTGTATGACTTAATGACTTAAAAATGTTTTCTCTTGCAATTTGTTTTCTTAGTTGGTATTTTCTTTTATGAAAACTTCAAATCCAAGTATCTTTATGTTTAAAGACACTCATTAGTATTTTTAGGGTGATAAGTACATTTTATATTTAGTTTAAGCTTATATTTCAGAGTATCTATTTTTAATGTTTTTTAACACTAAAGCTATGCATTCTTAATTTTATAATTTCCATTTGGCAAACATTGACATCTTCCTGTAGTTTTTGCAGAAAAGTTTCTATGTGATGCATGTGTAGCTTGTTTCCTTTAACTTTTATCTGGGATTATTTAGGTATTGTGCTACTCAAATACCTGAAATAAAATATTGAGGTGATAAAAGCTGTAATCTAGTTAGTAGGGTTGAATTTGATTTCGCAGGTGAACTTATTATACGAGATAGTACACAATGAAAATGCTATTGTTTATACTGTTAATTTTGAGCTGTACTTTTCTTCTCTTATTGGGATTCATGTTTTCTGTTTTGATTATACTTGATTATATTTCACCAGTTGCTTTACTCTGTAACATTAATATTTTCTCCTTCAGTCTTTTCCATTAGTAGTAACCTTGTCTTTTATGTACCACTAACAAACTTTGTAGGACTGTGTTTTCTGTATCTATTATCTACTATAGTGAGTTTGTTGTGAAGAATAAATAATATATAAATTTTATTAAAAATGTTAAGATTTAATGATGTCGGCATTCATTTCATTGCTACTTTATTTTTCTCTTGGATTTTGGGGGTGCTTCCAAGCAGTGCTCAGGAAGTCTGCTACTGGCGATTCTTAACTAGCTGTGCCAGTGGTTCATGCCAGGGCCTAAGGATGTGATACAACTTTGGGCCTGTGGATCCAAGGATTTCCTGGGCCACCCCAGCAGTGCTTGGGGGCTTTCAGGGTCACACCCAGTGGTTCTTGGGGACCATTTGGTGCCAGGAATCAAACCTGAGTCAGGCAAATGCCTAGCATCTCCCATCTTCTCCTAGCAATTTTTAAGTACTTTGCTTATATTTCTATGGATTGAGGATACTAAGGTTAGACACTTTGAATTATTAATAAATGTGAAAAATATTCACTACTAAATAGGACTTAAATTTCTTCTTAGTAATGCAGAATTATTTTTAAGCATACCTGTTATGATATGCTCAAAAGTGAAAAATATTCTAGGATGTTTTCTTTTTTTTTCTCATCTAAAAATGTTTGTCTTTTTTTTATTGTAAAATATTGTGTTGATACAAATAACAGATATTTTCTATTCAGTAATGAAGTATTAGTATTAGTAGTGAAGTATTAAAAACTAAATAGTTTTTTAGTTTTAACTCTACAAAATACTAAAAATGTCAAGAATTTGTTGTTGATGTTTCACTTGTTTTACATTGTAGTTGATCTTCTTTAAAAGAACAAAACATTTCCAGAATTTAAAAAAACAATCTCTTTTTCCTCTATGAAACAGGATAGTTTATCAATCCTTCTTTTGTTTCTGTGCTATTTTCCCCCTCCCTGTGGCCAGGACTCTAGCAGCACAGCTCAAATGGTGTCTTTCCTAGCAGGCATTTCTTGTGTGTTCCTCTTTTCCCTGATGTGAATTATAATTCCTTGCTCCCTCCATGTTCCTGTAACACAGTGTGCATTTGTATTGTTTCAGTCTACTGTACTTTGCTATAACTGTCTATTTCTGTATTATTCTTAAAGGGACCAAATATACTTAATGTTTACTGAAGTTCTTATCTTACATAATAAGTGTTATACCTTAAATTCATTTTGAAATTTTGAAGTATATTATTTACTTTTTTGAATCAGAAGTTTAAATCAATTACTTAAATAACATGTTTCCCCCTCCTACTTCAAATTCATGATTAGATTTTTAGTAACATTTTTGCAAAAGAAGTTTTGATTACATTTAAAAAAAATGCAATGATGTATAAGTAAGAATTTTCCAATTTTCTTTCTTATAAAGGATTGTACCTCTGCCTCCACCTCCTGTGCTACCACCTCTGGCTGCAAACTATCGGACTCCTTATGATGATGCTTACTATTTTTATGGAGCCAGAAATACTTTGGATCCTAATCTTGCTTATTGTAAGTTATATATATGATAAAAACTTTTTTCCTCAGTGTTTCAGTCAGAAAAACCTAATTTTCATTCAAGCAAAAATATATAAATGAAAAAAACCTAACCTTTTAGTATCACATTTTTACTGACTTAGTATGTCCCATTTAAGAACTCATTTATATTTCAAAATAATTACATTTTCATCTAGATTTTAGTAATAATTTTTGTGTGTTTTCCTGTATTTACTTCATTCCTAACCTAGCAGGAAATAATGCTTTTCTTTAGATAAGTTATCTAATTTAAGTAAGTGATTTTATTTAGGGATATATTATTAAATGTATATTCTCATTTTTTTTTGTTTCTTTATTTTAAGATGGCTCAGGAATGACGGGAGTACAACCTGCAGCTTATGTTAGTGCTCCTGTCACCCATCAACCACATCCTATTGTGTAAGTAGTTAAAAATAATTTTTTTAAAATACTAATTTTTCTTTCATGGAAGTCCTGACAGACTTAGGGAACCATATGTGGTGCTAGGGGACAAAATGTTCCTCTCTCTATCTTCTAGTTCTGGCCTTTGAATATATACTTAAACATTTTTTAATTTGCTTTTTAATCAAGTTCTCAAAGAATCTTTGCAGGACTGTTTCCAAAGATTAGGAGATGCCTTTGATAGGTTTACTCAGTTATACTGAAACGATGTTATCTTCTGTGACTTTCACAGTAACATCAATTCCTCCCCTTTTGATGCTGGCATTGTTCTCAGTAACTGCTTTCTCACACTTATTTATTTCTCCACATGACAATATCTGCTTATAACATCAACGTAATACACTTTATCTTTTTTTTTGGGGGGGGTCACACCCAGCGATGCACAGGAGTTACTCCTGGTTCATGCACTCAGGAATCACTCCTGGCAGTGCTCGGGGAACCATATGGGATGCTGGGAATCGAACCTGGGTCGTCAGCATGCAAGGCAAATGCCCTATCCGCTGTGCTATTGCTCCAGCCCCTCAATGTAATACACTTTAAGGTCTGCATAATTTATAAGGAATATCCTATAATACCCTTGGATCATCAGGGATAAAAGAAAATGAAAGGAACGAAGACAGAAAGAGGGTCCTTTAGAATTAAGGAATTATAGCCCCAGCTTTACCCAACTTTTAGAACCTCTTGTCTTTCATATGATTTCCACCCCAGGCCTGTGCAAAAGGACAGCAGTTACATTTTTGCTAGGGTTATATCATCAGTGCCATTAATAGAGTCTATAAGTTAGTGGAGTGAAAAGTGGTGATAAATTTATATTTTATATTACATATTTAAAACCATATTTAAAAACACTTGCTCCAACCCCCTCCCAGGCTATACTTGACATTGCTCAGGTCTTACTCCTGGCTCTGACTCTGTGCTTAGGGATCACTCCTGGTGGGACTTAGGGGATTATCTGGGATGGCAGGGATCAAACCCTGGTTGGCCTCGTGCAAGATAAGCATCCTCTCTGCTGTACTTTCACTATGGTCAAAGCAAATACTTTAAAATATGAAAGGAATGGGGATATGGTGCCGCCAGTAGGTCAATCTGTACCCGTGAGGTGAGTGCATCAGCAGCCTGATGGTGCCTTCAGACTTACAGATACCCCAAAATTGCTGCTGTGCCTTTGGCCAGACCCCAAAAACTTGGGTCAAAGTTTACCAAGAAAGTAAACGGCCAAAAGTTAGGTATATGGGAGACACACCCACAAACCACCTCCAGCTCAGCTATATAATTGGAGGCATGGCCTCTCTGGTTCCTGATTGAACTGCTTAATGGCCATGATCCCAGAGACTCAGAAACAAATCTCAAAACCCAACGGCTTTTGGCAGAAATGCGTCCAGTCCCTTCAGTAAGTTACAGGCTCTGGGCCACCCCAGGGGGGAATAGGTTTCATGCCTTGGCCTGTTTCCCCTGGCGGTCTGGTGGCTGCCATCCTCCAGAGGCCACTGGACGGTCAGGTTTGGGCCCACAGTGACAAGACACGTGGGGCTTCACAGGATGGGGATGGAGCCGGCCCTTTCCTCCCCATCCCAACGAGACCCCGAGTCACCACCCACGAACGGCCTCTCAGGCTCCTGATAAAGCTGCTTAACGGCTATGATCCCAGAGACTCAGAAACAAATCTCGAAACCCAGCGGCTCTTGGCAGAAATGTATCCGGGCTGTGCAGTAGGTTACTGTTGCCGGGCCACCCCAGGGGGGAAAGGGTGCTGTCCCTCTACCTGCTCCCCTTTGGCAGCTTGGTGGCCGCCATCCTCCAGAGGTCATTGGACAGGTTTGGGCCTGCAGTGACGAGACACGCGGGGCCTCACGGGATGGGGGTGGAGCGACCCTTTCCTCCCCGTCACAACAACACCCGAAGTCATCGCCCTCGAACAGCCTCTCTGACTTCTGATCAAGCTGCTTAACGGCCATGATCCCAGAGACTCAGAAACAACTCTCGAAACCCAGTGGCTTTTGGCAGAAATGCGTCCGGACCTCACAGTAGGTTACTGTCGCTGGGCCATTCCACTGGGGAAAGGGTGCTGTCCCTCCGCCTGCTCCCCCTAGGCGGCTCGGTGGCTGCCATCCTCCAGATACCATTGGACAGTCAAGTTTGGGCCCTCAGTGATGAGACACGGGGGGCCTCACGGGACTGGGGTGGAGCCGGCCTTTTCCTCCCCATCCCAATGAGACCCTGAGTTGCAGCCCATGAGCGGCCTCTCTGGCTCCTGATCAAGCTACTTAATGGCCATGATCCCAGAGACTCAGGAACAAATCTCGGAACCCAACAGGTTTTTGGCAGAAATCCCTCCAGATTTAATTGTTAAAATTTCAGAATTTCAAAATCACTTGGTCATTGCTGCAGCAACGCGACATCATATGTTATTCATAACCAGCAATAGAAAAAAAATTGTCTACTGTTGCCTTTTCAGCAGATCTGAGTGTTGGGGTAAAATCATAAACAATAATGGTGGGTCTGGTGTCAAAATATTGAATGTAATCAAAGTAGAGAGTAATGTGGAAATGATCTGCCCCACAGGTAGGGGGAGGGTGTGGGATGGGGGTATACTGGGGTTTTTGGTGGTGGAGAATGGGCACTCGTGAAGGTACAGGTGTTTCATTTTATGACTGAGACTTAAACCCGAAAGCTTTGTAACTGCTCTCATGGTGATTCAATAAATAAAATTATAAAAAAATGAAAAAGGAATTTTCTTTTGGCAAAATGAAAAAAATAGGAGGAGTAAAGAAGTGGCAGTGATGGTGGGGCTTGAACGTTTTTGAAGGAACTCTCTTTTTTTTCTCCCTTTTTATTGATTCACCGTGAGATATAGTTACAAAGTTTTGATGTTTGAGCTTCGATCATACAATCATCAAACACTCTTCTCTTCACCAGTGCACATTTTCCACCACCAAAATTCCCAGTAAGCCCCCTCCCTCCCTTATTTCACTGCCTTTCCTGCCTATGTGGCAGACAATTTGCTCAATACTTTCTCGTTACTTTGGTTACATTTAGTATTTCGACACCAGTCCCACAACCACTCAAACCTGCTGAAAAGGCAATGCTAGATGATTTGTTTTGTATTACTTGTTATGGATAAAATATAATCTCGCACTGCTGGGAATTCTAGAATTTTAATAATTAGGGTCTGGAGGGAGCTGCTCGGTTCCTCGTTTGTGTGTTTCTGGATCATGACCATGTGGGAGCTTAAGTAGCTAGTGGCAGTTTGTGGGTGTCATCTCAGAGTCCCATGGGGCGGGGAGGAGAATGGCCTCCTCCTCCCCTGTCCTCTGAGGCCTGCTGTTGCTGTCACTGCCACCGAGTACCTGGAGCTTTTTTACCCGGCAAAAGTGGCCTATTGCAAAATCTGGAGGCATCTTTGCAGCAAGCCGCTCAGTTCCGAGTCTCCATTCCGAGACTTCACCAAGGAAAGGTATGGCTCATATTTTAAAAAATCACAAAAAGGAGCCAGAGAGATTGTACAGTGGGTAGGGTGCTTACTTTGTATGTCAAGATTTCTGTTTCAAACTGCCATATTGCATCTGGTTTCCTGAGCATTGCCAGGTGTGCCTCCTGAGCACAGAGGCCAGGAGTAAGCATTGAACACCTCCGGGTGTGGCCTAAACACCCATCTACCCCCTCCCCCCACCCAAATCATAGAAAGTAAATGAACTCTTGGAAAACAGACTGACAACATGACAACAATCTCAGATTAGGCATTTTAAACAAAATATAAAGCAGTTATATTGAATACACTAATCTTAGAATGTAAGAAGCTAAGAAGAATGACTAGATTTGAAATGAAGCTATATATTTTGGAAAAAAATTAAAATAATTAAGACCATTAAATAACAGCCTCATTTCTGAATTCCTTGAAGAGAGAGTTAATGAACTAGAACAGTGATTTTCAAAGTGTGGTCCCGAGTAGCAGCACTGTGGCAACATGTTAGAAATGTGTGCTCTCAGGTCTCCTCTGACCTGTGGGTAAGAAGCTCAGGGAAACAACTAAGTCATTTCAAGAAAATTTCCAGGTGTTTTTGATGTTCTCCAAAGTTCAGGAACATCTAGAACAGGAGTGTTGGTCAGTAATAGAGTGCATACTTCACCCCTATGTGACCCCTAGGTTCAAATCCCCCAAACAGTTAAAGAAATAAAATTGAGTCTGGGGATGTATCTCTTTGTAGCTTTGAATATTTGTTATGAATACATACCTTAAATACATGCTCTAAATATATGAGGCCACACTTGCCAGTGCTTAGGCCCTCCAGGACTACTCCCAGTGATGCTGGGCAGTCTCTGTAGCGCTGGGAATCAAACCTGGGTCATTCGTGCAAGTATAGACACTATCTCCCATATTCTCTCACTGGCCTTCAAGGGATGTTTTTTTTTTCCCACAGTTAATGAATAAAATATAAAATCTATGTATTTAATGACAAAGATGTACTAGATCATTTTCTCAGCCTTTTATCCATCTGTCACTCACTTCCTACCTTGATTTCTTCCTGTGCCCCTCTTTCTAATATCCTGGGGGGGGCCACCAGGGTCCATATAACCCCCAGTCGAGAAACACTGTACTAGAGGAGTAGAAATTAAAATAAACTTAGTTTAGTGACATCAGATAAATTGGATCTCTCAGTCAAAATAAAGTGGTGATGGATCCTTGAGTGAGGGATAAAAAATGGATAGGAAGGAAAATTAGTCAAGTGTATATTGAGAGCATTTGATCATTTTATAACTTGTAGCTGGTTTGTTTGAAAGTTGTTCATGGTTGGGTTTCAGTCATACAGTGTTCCAACGCCCACCGCTTCACTAAGGGGTACCAATGTTCCCACTTTCCTTTCTCTACACCCCCCAAGCCTGCCTCCATGGTAGGCACTTTTGTTTGTTCTCTCTCTCTCTCTCTCTCTCTCTCTCTCTCTCTCTCTGTGTGTGTCTCT